GGAAAATAGGGAGGGAGGGGTCGTGGGGCTTGGGTCCGGGCCGGAGCCGCTGGGGCCGGCGGTGCTCGGTCGGGGGCCGGCGGTGCTCGGCCGGGCTCCGCTGGGGCCTGCGGTGCTCGGCCGGGCGCCGCTGGGGCCGGTCGGTGCTCGGCCGCGGGCCGAGCCGGGCAGGAGACGCCAGGGCCAGAGCCTCTTGGCCTGGGCCGGCCGGCCGCTGGAGGGAGCCACTTGGCCGGGGGGGCCGGACTAGGCCGCCCCAGCCCCAGCTTACCTGCTGCCTCCCTGTTTCAGGCTTCCCGCGAACATTTGATTCGCGGGAAGCAGGGGAGGGGGAGGAGCAGGGGGTCGGAGCGTTCAGGGGAGGGGGCAGAGTTGGGGCGGGGACTTTGGGGCGGGGGCAGGGAAGGGGCGGGGTTGGGGGTGGGGAAGAGGCGGGGTTGGGGCGGGGCCGGAGCGTCCTCCTTTTTTTAAATCAAAATATGGTAACCCTACCATAGAATCATAGAACCATAGAGTTAGAAGGGGCCACAAGAGTCATCTAGTCCAGCCTGCTGCCAAGATGGAGGATTTGTGGTGTTTAAACCATCCAAGACAGATGGCTATCCAGCCTCTTTTTGAAAACCTCCAGTGAAGGAAATTCCATAACGTTCTTGGCAGTTTGTTCCATTGTCCTACTTTTCTTATACTTAGGAAGTTTTTCCTGACATTTAATATAAATTTGCTATGAGGTAGTTTGAACCCATTGCCTCTTGTCCTGCCCTCTGTGACAAGAGAGAACATTTTTTCTCTATCTTCCTTATGGCAGCCTTTCAAGTATTTGAAGACCACTATCATGTCCCCTCTTAATCTCCTCTTTTCCAAACATACCCAATTCCTTCAGCCTTTGCTCATATGGCTTGCATTCCATCCCTTTGATCATCCTTGTCACTCGCCTCTGGATCCTTTCCAGTTTCTCTACATCCTTTCTATACAGTGGTGACCAAAATTTGACACACTACTCTAGCACTGAGTAGAGCAGTACTGTCATCACCTGTGACTTGCATTATATGCCTCTGTTAATGCAACCCAAAATAGCATTTGCTTTTTTTGCAAAAGCATCGCATTGTTGATTCATGTTGAGGTTGTGATCCACCACAACTCCCAGATCCTTTTCAGCAGTGCCGCTGCCAAGCCAGTTATCCCCCATTCTGTGTCTGTGCCTTTGGTTTTTCTTCTCTAATTGTAGCACCTTACATTTTTGTCTTTGTAGAATTTCATTTTGTTGTCGGTAGCCCAGTTCTCCAATTTAGCAAGATCCCTTTGAATTTTAGTTCTATCCTCCAAAGTGTTTGTAGCTTCGTGTCATATGCAGATCTGATCGGGATGCTCTCTATTTCTACATCCAGCTCATTTATAAAGATATTAAATAACACCAGATGCAGAACAGATCCCTGTGGAACTCCACTTGAGACCTTCCAATATGATGTCATTCCATTAATAGCTACTCTTTGTTTGCAGTTTAACCAATTTTGTATCCACTTAATGGTAGTGTAGTTCTACCAAGCCTGCATTTCTCCAGCTTACTTGTGAGCATGTCATATGGGACTATGTCAAAAGCCTTGCTAAAGTTCAGGTATATTATGTCCACCTTATTTCCCCTATCCACCAAACCAGTTACCTTGTCAAAGAAGGAAATCAAGCTGCTTTGGCATGATTTGTTCTTAGTAAATCCATGCTGGCTACTAGTGATCACCCCTTCATCCTCCAAGTATTTGCAAATTGAATGTTTTATACAGTGCTCTAGTAGTTTCCCAGGCACTGAGGTCAGGTGGACTGGTCTTCAGTTCCCCAGCACCTCCTTTTTCCCCTTTTTAAAGAAGGGCATTAAAGTTAGCTCTTCTCTAGTCTTCTGAAACCTCATCAGTCATCTATGAGTTTTCAGATATTATTGCCAGTGGTTCTGAGATTTCTTCAGCTAATTCCTCCAGCCCTTGGGGTCAATAGCATCCGCCCCTGCTGATTGAATTCATTCAAATTAGTCAGAAGATCTCTGACATGTTCTTTACTTATCCTGATCTGAATCCCTTCACCTTCATTAGTCATCTGGTCACGTTAGTTTCTGTGTGAAGACTGAAGCAAAGTAGGCATTGAGCAGCTCCGCCATCTTATCTTCCATTACCAGCTCACCTTCTCCATTGAGCAACGGACATATGCCATCTCTGGTCTTTCTTTACTGCCTGACATATTTGTAGAACCCCTTCTGGTTGTGTCTAACATTTCTTCTTCGAGTGCTTGCTCTGTCCATTCCATATTAGGGGTGTGCGCTCACCACATGCACCGGTGCTGGAAGTTTTTCCCGTAGCAGTGTCTGCGGGGGACCGGCTCTGGCGCCCTCTGGAGTGGCACCTGCCTGGCACGATATAAGGGGCGCCGCCGGCTACCCCCACCCTCAGTTCTTTCTTGCCACCAGTGACAGTGCTGGAACATCTGCTGCTTCGTCTAGCGTTGTTTCGTTCTCTGTTGTTGCGAATTTTGAAAATCTGTAAAGTAATTGTATATAGTTAGTAGTTTCTTAGTAGTAGTTCTCAACTCTTCGTTAGTCCCGAACAGGACTCCAGCTTGGGGACAGGGCATGCCCTGGTCCCCAGGCTTTAAGCCCTGCGATCGCTGTAAACGACCTATGCCCGTCAGCGATCCACATACCAGCTACCTGTGGTGCTTAGATGAGGGGCACATAAGTGACAAGTGCCGTATCTGCAAATCCTTTAAACCTAGGACGAAGAAGGCGCGCAAAACTCATCAAAGGGTGCTCCTAATGGAGTCGGCACTCACTCCGGCACCGGAGCAGCGGTCCGACTCTGCACCGAGCACAATGGCCTCCGTGCGCAGTGCTCCACTGGCGCCGTCCATGAGCTGGCTCCGGTCATGAAGGTGAAGAAGAACGTGAAGGGATGATCTCCTACTTCCTGCAAGGGAAAGGAGAGGGCTGGGGTGAGCCATGACCCGTGCTGGGCAGCTCAACGCACCCTTCAGGAAGTTGGGCCCCAGCTCAAGTCAAGCGGTGGAGCCCATCTTGTACTTCACCTGCAACTCCAGATAGCAGTACAGGTAACGACCAGCTTCAGGTGCCATCAACGCCTGAAGCCCTTCAAGCAGCTCAGGAGATCCTGACACTCCTGGTGCCACCCTCACCGGCTCCAGTGGTACCCCGGTCTCGGGGAAAACCCACTTTGGGACCTATGTGTTTGTCCCCACCTCAGTGGCACCATTCCCCATCGAGAGGGATGTCCCACCAACGCTTGCCTGCGCGAAGCCGTCACGCCACGGGACAAGAGAGGCAGGCTCAGCGGAGCCCCCTTCAGTCCCCACACTGGGGGCACCGATCAAGGGATTCGAGGCGTTCCTTGCCAGTAGATTGGCGCAGACACTCTGGGGCACGCGCCGCCCAGCAAGATCTCCGGGACCATCCTCAACCATCTCCAAGGGCCCGGTACTGATCACGGGACCGATCAGGGAGCAGAGACCGCTGATTACCTGGTCGTCATCGCCCATCTCCTAGGAGGAGATCGCCCTTCTCAGGAGGTTCCTCCCGACAGCCGTCCCGTAGTGGCTTCAAGTCCCGTTCGACATCCCGGTACCGGTTGAGCAGTGTGAGGCGTGGATTGCTGGGTGACCGACGCAGATCTGCCGAACGCCATCGGCCTCCGAAACCCTGACCAAAATGCCCAACTCGCTCGGACAGGTCGGCTTTGGGTTGCAGCGATCGGCACCAGTCAGACAAGAGCCAGCGCTCCGCCCATTCCTGGTTGCCCGGTACTGACCGCTCCGTTTCCAGCTCCATTACGGAGCAATGTGCCCTGACTGTGGGACAAGCCCTGGTACCTATGGTGATGCCAGCATCAACGGCACCGAAACCAGTTCCTTGGTCCCAAGTGCAGTGGCCAGCACCATGGTACTCGTTGAACCCTTGGGGATTCACTGAACAGTCCCAGGCTGCCCAATCGGTGTCGGGAGCCTCGGAGAGACCAGTGGTCTCAGTATCCTGTCCCTCTCCAGTGTTCAAGGCTTCAGGGGGATAAGACTCCACAGGTCCAGGAGGACCCAGGGGAGCAAGGTGCTGGACCACCAATGAATGTGGACGTTCCCACGGCACTGACAGCCTCGTCTGGCGACGATGAGGACAATACCATGGGGCCCCTTCAGCCGGTTCCTCAGGATGACGCCAAAGCGCACCAGGAACTTTTGAAGAGGGTCGCTTCCAACTTGGGGCTTGAGGCAGAGGAACTAGAAGAGCCCTCAGACTCTCTGTTTGATGTTTTCTGCTCCTCAGCTCCTGCCAGGGTGGTCTTACCCCTTCATGAAGGGGTTTCCAAAATTACTAATGCCCTGTGGCAGACCCCCTCTTCCTTGGCCCCTATCTCTAAGAGGGCCGAACCCAAGTACTTTGTGCCAACCAAGGGGCATGAGTACTTATACTCCCACCCTGCCCCCAATTCCCTTATGGTAGAGGAGGTTAACCACAAAGAGAGGCAAGGACAACCCAGGGCCAGCCCCAAAAATAAAGACTCGAGGAGGCTGGATATCTTTGGACGTAAGATTTATTCGTTTTCCAGCCTTCAGCTGAGAGTGGCCAACCACCAAGCCCTCCTTGGCTGGTATGACTTCAATATGTGGCAAGCCATGGTCAAGTTCGAAGAGTCGCTCTTTGAGGCTTCCAAAAAGGAGTTCTGAGCGATCCTCGATGAGGACACGACCATGACCAAGGCAGCCCTCCAGGCGGCTTCGGACGCTGCTGCTGCTGCTCGCACCAGGGTTTCCACTATCTCCATGCGGCGAGCCTCCTGGCTGCTCCTCACTGGCTTGTCCTCTAAGGCTCAGCAGTCAATGCAGGACTTGCCCCTCGACAGTTGAGCCCTATTTGTGGAGCAAACAGAGAGCAAGTTGCATGGCCTCAAGGACTCCCGCACCACCCTGAAAACCCTGGGTCTTTACGTCCCAGCCTCGGCGTGTAAGCGGTTCAAGCCGCAGCAGCGCCAGGGGAGCCAGCCTCGGAAGGATCAGCCCCACAAATGAGTCAAGGGCTACAAGCGCCATCTGAGCCACCCCCTCCACCCTCTGCCCAGTTGGGCTCGACCCATGCCAAGCAAGGGGCCAAATGGTCATTTTGAGCATGCTCCCGAGAGTGACCTACCAGACTATTCCCAGGATCCATCTGTCTAAGTGTTCTCCAACCGACTTTCCCTTTTCCTCCCTGCTTCGACCGCTATAACCTTGGACCGATGGGTCCTCGGAACAGAGTTATACCCTCCAGTTCCTTTCTACCCCTCCATTGCTCAGGTGCCGGGGTATCCAGATCTACCCTGTACCTTGACGACTGGCTCGTCAAGGGCAGTTCCAGGTCTCAGGTCCAAAGGGATGTTGTGGTGCTTCAGGCCACATGCCAGTCTCTGGGCCTTCTGGTAAATGACAAAAAGTCAACGTTAGTGCCAGTGCAAAGGATAGAGTTTATCAGAGCAGTCCTTGACTCGACCTGTGCCAGGGTGTTCCTGCCACGGAACAGGTTCCACACGTTGACAAACCTCATCATGGAAGTCTCTGTGTTCCCTCTGACTACAACCAGGGTCTGTCTGCACCTGCTTGGCCACATGGCAGAGTGCACTTACATGGTCCGCCACACCAGGCTTTGGATGCGGCCCCTGCAACAATGGGGATGGTCTATTCCTAGTCCCGAGACCCCCCTGGAAAAGATTGTTACCATTCCCCAGGCGATACTTACCTCTCTGCGATGGTGGACTGACCACAGGACAGTCCTGGAAGGGGTTCCGTTCGACTCGACAACCCCCCTCACTCCATCGAATTGGTGTTGGATGCCTCGGAGCTCATCTCGGCGACCTCCAGACACAGGGGACGTGGTCCCCGGAGGAGGTGAAGTTGCACATAAACATCAAAGAGCTCCGAGCAGTCCAGCTGGCATGCAGAGTCTTCCTGCCCCACCTGTCGGGCAAGGTGGTACGAGTCCTGACAGACAACACAGCCTCGATGTTCTACATCTGCAGGCAAAGGGGAGCGTGCTCATTGGCTCTCTGTCAAGAGGCACTCAAAATCCATCTGGAAGCTTATCACCTTCCCGTTGTCAAGAATATGCTGGCAGACCAGCTCAGCAGGGATTTCTCTCACCACGAGTGGTCGTTCCATCCAGAGGTAGCCTGCATGATCTTCCAAAGGTGGGGAACTCCCCAAGTGGACCCATTCGCCACCAGACAGAACAGGAAATGCCACCGGTTCTGTTCTCGGCAAGGTCTGAGCAAAGGCTCCCTCTCCGATGCCTTTCTCCTGCATGTGACGTTCCCCTCTGGTGTTGTCTAGACTGGTGATCTGCTAGGTCACTCCAGTCCTTGCTTATATTTTATTTATTTTGGTAACTAACTCTGACTTTTTGCCTATCACTTAAAATCTACCTTTTATAGTCAATACATTTGTTTAACTGTTTATCTTTACCAGTAAGGTTGTATGAAGTGTGTGGCAAATCTACTCAGGTTTTGCAAAGCTGGTGTATATCCACTTTCCATTGATGAAGTGGTGAACCAATTAATAAATCTGCACTGCCTGTCTTGAGCAATGCAAGATGGTATATTCCTGAGGTACAGTGCTAGGAGCTGGGGGGATTTGGCTCTGGTGCCTTTCTCTGTATGATTCATGGGTGGCTCTGGGAGCATTCATGCAATCTAGCTGAGTGTGGGGTCTCCACATGCTGTTGTGCCGAGTGATGATAGCACCTGGAGGGGTATGCTGCTGGTCACTAGCAAGGCATTGTGAGAGACAGCCCAGGACGGAGAGAGTTAAGGGGTGGTCCCACAGTCCCAGGCTGCACCCCAGGGATCCCATCAGAGGATGTCTAAAGCAATGGTTCTCAACTAGGGATACGCGTATCCTTGGGCGTACGCAGAGGTCTTCCGGGAGTACATCAACTCATCTAGATATTTGCCTAAAGAAGTCAGTTCAAACTAAAATTTCATACAGACAATGACTTGTTCTATATAACATACATTGATATGTAAATACAATATTTGTATTCCAATTGATTTATTTTATAATTATGTGGTAAAAAGGAAAAAGTAAGCAATTTTTTCAGTAATAGTATGCTGTTACACTTGTATTTTCATGTGTGATTTTGTAAGCAAGTAGTTTTTAAGTGAGGTGTAACTTGGGGGTATGCAAGACAAATCAGACTCCTGAAAGGGGTATAGTAGTCTGGAAAGCTTCAGAGCTACTGATCTAAAGCAAAATTGCAGTGATCATGATATCAGCAAGTCACACACAATTAATAGAAACCAGACTTCTGGGTTCACTCTTAGCCATAAACTTAAACTGGGCTTTTTAAATGCATTAGCAGGGGAGATCTCCCCATCCCTGTATTTTTATATGAAGAAAAATAAACTTTTTCTACCTATTATTTTGGATTGGAATGCTCGCGTGGTTAAAGTATGGTTGCCTGAAGCAGACCATATTACTCTTTCTAGGTAACCCAGAGTCCTTGTTCATTTAATAGGCTTATTGATTCCCCTAATTTTTTGGGAAACCAACCAGACTTGAGCTATCTGAAAAGAAGACCTTGTGCTTTGGGGAAAACCACATATCTTAGCTGGATATCTCAGCTCTACACAAAGTTATTATCTCCACCTATGTTTCCCATTTTTCTTTGAGACCACAGTCAGATTTCTCACCCATACTCCAAAACGACAAATACTGTAATACACACTAACAAAAGAGAAAAGATACCTGTAAACCTTAGGAATATTGCATTATTGGCACTTCCTCAAGAAAAAGAAAAAACCTCTTTCATCTACAACCGAGGACATACCCACTGATTTGATTTATAGAGAGCAATTAATTTCAACAGAAGCCAAAGAGTGGATTTGAAGGCACAAGTTGATTGTGTGTTTGAATTTAATAATACATAACATAATGAATGTATTAGTCTAATGACTCAGTTGAAGTTTTATTTAGGTACAACAATCAAGCAGTACTTAATAGTGCACTACACATAATATAGAAATGAAACATACATTCCAATCTGAGGCTGGGAAAATGATGGGCTGCTCACTTCACTAATAACTAACTTCCCCACACTCATCTCTTATACAGTGGTTTAGAAAAAAGAAAGTCCTTTCTCATACTTCGATTTTATTTTGAATCACTAAGACAGTAACATTTATAACTAATTTATCACTACAGGGACCATCTGTGATCAGAATTACTTCTTAATTCTTAGACATTAATTAATACATTAATCGTTTGCTGTTACATTGATTATAGAACACACTTGCTATACCAAATGTTCCTGGTTCATTTGATCAATTACTAATCTTATCAATTATATTGCATTTTGAACATCCCCTATCAATTACACCATTTTGTCCATTACAATACCCATCTTAATAACAGGCCTCCCTTTATATACAATGAGTATTTACAGAAAAGAGACAAAGAAAATAATCTATTGACTGTGAAGCTCTTTTCTTGTATCTACTTTACAAAGTTGATAAACTAAAGACTTCAACCATCCATTGTTTTATGAATTACAAAAATATCTGTAACTGAGTCATTATGACAGAAATAATCTGTTAGAGTCATTCCTGATAAGCTAAAAGCATCTCTTGATAGATCATTATCTTATTAATCATAGAAAACAACTGCCACATATTGGTTACCAGTAGTCTCTTTCTGGGCATATGGACTAGATCATTTAAAGTTCCGTTTAGGTTCAGCTCGAATACAAAGAATTATAAATACAAGGCATGCTGGGACTTTGGTTCACCTACAAAGAATAAAAAGGGTTATGGTCATTTGATTCATTTACTAAGAAGTTAAATCAGTATAACCAGTTTTAAACCAAGAGAGAGTTCAAACTCTAAAGTTGCAGTGGTTTAACCAAACTGATTTGCTAAACCAGCGCAACTTCTGTGTGTACACATGCCCTTAGCTAAACCAATTTAACCCCAGGGTTATCTGATTTAATTGTGTGTTCTGGGGGCTTGCAGAGATTTAACTACTTAAAAATCAGTTCAGTTAAATCAGTGCAACTTTGCGAATGTAGACTAAGCCAAAAGCCCACACAGACACTAAGGGAAATAGGTAAACCAACTGTATGCAAAGTAAATAAATTGGAAAATATTCTCTATTTGTGTTGTTTGTCAAAATAGTATGTAAAAATAATTCAGGCAGACTGTGACTTTTGAATTGACAGACTCATTTTTATAAAGAAGTGTTACACAATAAAATATTTTTGTAGATGAAAGCTTATTTACATAAGAATGACTTGCTTTATTTCTTCAATAGGAGTCAGAGCTCTGGCCTTGTCTTGCCCTTATTTACGTGAAGCCTCATTTAAAAGATGCTGCAATGTATCAGACAGCGGAGTTCTGGCTCTGGCGCTCAATTGCCATCTTCTACAAATAGTGAACTTAGGCAGCTGCTCAGGCATCACCGATGCATCCCTGCATGCGCTTGGACAGAACTGCAGATTTCTACACAGTGTGGATTTTTCATCTACTCAGGTAACTAAACGGCACCAATCAAAATATAAATGACAGTGACATAAATAAAATGAAGAGGTGAGTTTTATTAACTGCATTTTTGTTTAGCTGTGGTTTAGCAGGTTTTTAAGATTCAAAACGCCAAAGGCACATCTAGGTCCAGACACTATTTCCCAATGGAATGGTATTAAATATGTTCTGTCTTTTGATAATATAAACATATTTTCTCCAGATATGAGTTACTACTAATGATATCGAGCCTGGAGCACAGATGCATTTTTTTCATTAAAGCCTAGCAGGTTTTTTATCTGCTGTTGGTGTTACTCTGTGCCATAGGAATATAACAGGGGTGGCCAACCTGTGGCTCCGGAGCCACATGCGGCTCTTCAGAAGTTAATATGCGGCTCCTTACCTAGGCACTGATTCCGGGGCTGGAGCTATAGATGCTAACTTCCAATGTGCGCGGAGGTGCTCACTGCTCAACCCCCTGCTCTGCCCCAAGCCCTGCCCCCACTCCACCCCTTCCCCCAAGACCCCTACCCCTTCCCCTGAGTCTGCCATGCCCTCGCTCCCCCCGCCCATAGCCTCCTGCGCATGTGAAACAGCTGATTGCGGTGGGAGGGGGGAGTAGGCACTGATTGGTTGGGGGATGCTGGCAAGTGGGAGGAGCTGGGGCTGGGGAGCGGATGGGGGGCTGCTGACAAATTACTGTGGCTCTTTGACAATGTACATTGGTAAATTCTGGCTTTTTCTCAGGCTCAGGCTGGCCACCCCTGGAATATAATCTAACACCAGTTAATTAAATTCCTGTGGCTAGAAGGACTAATTGGCCTGTGGGGGGGATAACATGCTGTATTGTATGAGTCATACAACCCATAAAAGCATAAGACAAACTATAAACTCCTGATAACTAATTTTTCATCTCTCAAGGTTCAGTCACTCTTGAAAGAAAGAGTAGTGTGCAAAACCAAAGGTCTGAGTGGCATTGTACACTGAGTCATCTGCTCGGTTTATGCATTATTAATAATATGATCAAGACAACGCTTAATCCGTGCCAGGGCTTGCCAGAGCTCGGCACGTCTAGGCTTGGCAGTTCATAGCCCCAGCACCTCTGGACTTGCTGCATCAGTTATGAAAGTAAAAAAATTGCTTGAGCCTCGGCACCTCTTTCATTACAAATTAAGCACTGGATTAGGCTGGGATTTTGGTCCTGTTTTGTGACTTTTTTTCTTCAAAATAATAAGTGTCCTGGCATTTTATGTTCCATGTAAAGCTAGTTTTTTGTTTTTTTTCTTTTTCCTTTTTGAGAAGCTTCTTAGTGTTCTGAATCGTACAAGGCGTAGAGGAAGGCACTGTCTCAGACCCACGGAGTTAACTCTCTAATTTAGACAGACCTCACAGTTGAAATGGTTCCTTTGGTGATTTTTTTCATTTAAAGGCTTGTGAAAGAAGTATGTGTTAAGGACAGGATTTGAAGGAGAAGAGGGTAGTTGTCTGCTGCACAAGGAGGAGGAAATTTCCCATCGGGGGGAGCATGGAAAAATGCATGAAAACCAGAGTGGGAGAAGGAGTGGTTGGGATGGTGCCTTGGATGGACTTGCGGGAGAGAAGTGGGGATGAGGAAGAAATAAGAGTAGAGCTGTATGCAGGAATAGTGGAGAGCAGAGGTTTGCAAACTACAATGGCAGGTTTCAGAGTAGCAGCCGTGTTAGTCTGTATCCGCAAAAAGAACAGGAGTACTTGTGGCACCTTAGAGACTAACAAATGGGGCTCAGCTCTCATGTGCGGCAAGGGAAGTTTCAGTTCCCTGATTTCCTGTCCTTCGCCCTCTGCTGGAGCGAAGGGGAGAGAGCATCTCCTGGTCTGGCAACCAGACCAGTCCACCACGGGCCTTAATTTGGTGGGCATGGTGCAGCTGCCAATCGGGGGGAGAGAGAAGGAGGGGGAATCCACTGCTTCCTCCCCTCCCTCCCTCCCTCTGAGAGAGTCACCACATGAAAATAATTGGGTGAAGGCAGGGGAATACACTGTGCTGTCTGGGGAGTCGGGTGGGAAGCCTACACTGGGGGCTGCCTCAGAGACTGGAGGAAGGAGAGTGGTGACAGTTGACCCCTAATCTAAACTTAACTATAATTCATATGCTAGTAGGGTGACCAGATGTCCCAATTTTATAGGGACAGTCCCGATTTTTGGGTCTTTTTCTTATGTAGGCTCCTATTACCCCCCACCCCCGTCCCGATTTTTTACACTTGCTGTCTGGTCACAATATATGCTAGCGTGCTTAAGATAGTGGTAATAATAAAAGCCGTTAAAGCTGTAATGCAATTAGGGATACACAAAACATATTTTATTTGAATAGGTTTTGCAAAACAAGTCCAAAGTAGTAGGTTTGGGGGGATTTTTGCTCTGTGTAACAGCATTGACTTATCGAGACCATTGGGAAATGTATTGATGCAAATAGCTTATGTAAGCAATAGGAACACTAATTATGGCCCCTCTGGAATACCAGATACAGGCAGGGAGCTGAGAGCTAACACAGATATGGACCTGGCTGTGTGGGGGATGAAAGGAAAAGGTGTATAAAAAGGATGTTTGCCCGACCTTCACTGGGCACTTTGGGTTGACAGGATGGTGTAAACTGGATCGTCATATCCCACTTGTGATGTACTCCACTGGCTACTTCCTTATGTCTTTGTTTTCAGTGGTCTCCGGGGGCTTGCGAGTATGACAACACTAGGGACTGTTGTGTTATATGTTTCACTTTTTGTGCAACTGGGTTAATACTCTTGCTTATTTGGATTTTAAATCAAGTCTTCATGAGTCTATTTATGTGACTCACCAGTCTCACTCTTAAAAGTTTCACGTAGCTGTCCGAGAAAAGGACCTGTTAGTGATTTGTGCAGTTTGCACCCAAATTAAGCTGAAAACCTGGAGCGAGTGGACCCGGTAGGGAACCGGTTCTTAGGATTTTGGGAGCTCATCACTGGATAAAGATGATTCAGTAACTTTGTATATTAATGATGAGATAGACTGTAAAGAAAGAAGAAGTGATGGAATGGATAAAAAGGAACTCTATTTGGATCAAAATTACTTTGGGGAGACAGGTAACAGAGGCTGCACTGGATTAGTGCTTGTGGTCTGCTAAAGACCCCTAGGATCCAATTTGGATATGAAGAGAGACCTATTTAATATTTTAATGAAATAAATACAGCTGGGAATTGTGTGATTATGGGAGATTAATTTCTCAGATATAGATTGGAGGGCAAGTGCTACTTCTAATGGTAGGGCCCAGATAGTCCTGCATGTGATAGTTGACAGATTTCTTCACCACATAGTCACTGAACCTATTTTGATTTAGTATTGATAAGTAGTGAGGACCTCATAAAAGATGGGACACTAGATGGGAAAGGCTCCAAGTTACTACAGTATCATGGGGTAGCCGTGTTAGTCTGTATCTACAAAAACAACAAGGAGTCTGGTGGCACCTTAAAGAATAACAGATTTATTTGGGCATAAGCTTTCGTGGGTAAAAACTTCACTTCTTCGGATGCATAGAGTGAAAGTTACAGATGCAGGCATTATATACTGACACATGGAGAGCAGGGAGTTACTTCGCAAGTGGAGAACCAGTGTTGACAGGGCCAATTCAATCAAGGTGGATGTAGTCCACTCCCAATAATAGATGAGGAGGTGTCAATTCCAGGAGAGGAAAAGCTGCTTCTGTAATGAGCCAGCCACTCCCAGTCCCTATTCAAGCCCAGATTAATGGTGTTAAATTTGCAAATGAATTTTAGTTCTGCTGTTTCTCTTTGAAGTCTGTTTCTGAAGTTTTTTTGTTCAATGATAGTGACTTTTAAATCTGTAATAGAATGACCAGGGAGATTGAAGTGTTCAGTTACTGGCTTATGTATGTTACCATTCCTGATGTCCGATTTGTGTCCATTTATTCTTTTGCGGAGGGACTGTCCGGTTTGGCCAATGTACATGGCAGAGGGGCATTGCTGGCACATGATGGCATATATAACATTAGTGGATGTGCAGATGAATGAGCCCTTGATGGTGTGGCTGATGTGGTTGGGTCCACTGATGGTGTCGCCAGAGTAGATATGGGGACAGAGTAGGCAACGAGGTTTGCTGCAGGGATTGGTTCCTGGGTTGGTGTTTCTGTGGTGTGGTGTGTAGTTGCTGGTGAGTATTTGCTTCAGGTTAGGGGGTTGTCTGTAAGCGAGGACTGGCCTGCCTCCCAAGGTCTGTGAGAGTGAAGGATCATTTTCCAGGATAGGTTGTAGATCGTGGATAATGCGCTGGAGAGGTTTTAGCTGGGGGCTGTATGTGATGGCCAGTGGTGTTCTGTTATTGTCCTTGTTGGGCCGGTCCTGTAGTAGGTGATTTCTGGGTACCCGTCTTGCTCTGTCAATCTGTTTCCTCACTTCCCCAGGTGGGTATTGTAGTTTTACGAATGCTTGATAAAGATCTTGTAGGTGTTTGTCTCTGTCTGAGGGGTTGGAGCAAATTCGGTTGTATCTTAGGGCTTGGCTGTAGACAATGGATCGTGTGATGTGTCTTGGATGGAAGCTGGAGGCATGTAGGTACGTATAGCGGTCAGTAGGTTTCCGGTAAAGGGTGGTGTTTATGTGACCATCACTTATTTGCACTGTAGTGTCCAGGAAGTGGATCTCTTGTGTGGACTGGTCCAGGCTGAGGTTGATGGTGGGGTGGAAATTGTTGAAGTCCAGGTGGAATTCTTCAAGGGCCTCTTTTCCGTGGGTCCATATGATGAAGATGTCATCAATGTAGCGCAAGTAGAGGAGGGGCACTAGGGGACGAGAGCTGAGGAAGCGTTGTTCTAAGTCAGCCATAAAAATGTTGGCATACTGTGGGGCCATGCAGGTACCCATAGCAGTGCCACTGACTTGAAGGTATAAGTTGTCCCCAAATCTGAAGTGGTTGTGGGTGAGGACAAAGTCACAAAGCTCAGCCACCAGGATGTAGAAGCACTTTACACCAGTATTCCACATGAG